ATCATCATCATCATCATCATCATCATCATCATCATCATCATCATCATCATCATTATCATTATCATTATTATCATTATCATTATTATTACGCAACAATCAACATTACCCAAAACATAATAGCTGCTATCAGTTGGTTACGTTTGTATTACGATTGTATTTTTTTCCAGCTAGATTTTTCTTGAGCTACTTAGTCACACTCCATTAGAGACCATGCGTCTAAAAGCCGGAGGTCAGTTATAATGAGTGCTCACGTAATGAATCAACGCCTTGAACAGAACTGAGCTCTCCGGGTCTTGAAGATGTTGGTAAACCCTTCTTTGATATTTCTAAGAATCCCAGGCACACTCGCATGAAGGCATACTTGCTGACTTATGCAGAAAGTTAAAATTCAACCTTACACATTTTATAAATTATGATATACTAGCTCGGCCCCCTTTCGATGAAGGGAATGATCGGTGCATTACCATCAACTGAAAGTCATTGGCCTACTGTATTTACACTTTACTGGAATGGAGCAATAAATCTTGAGAGATGAAAAAAAAATTAGAAGATCTTAATCAATACTCTTAAAACAAAATGCGCATCGCAGAATATCACTTCCGGCACTTCCGCTGTGAAGGACAGCTTCGCCGATTTGTTTCGTTTCTCAGTGGAATAATCACAAAGGCCAAAGATGGGCGGGGACTTTTGTCAAATTTTAATATATTTTTCTTAATTCAGGAAAAGAATGGGACCTATCTATCTTTTGCAGGTACTTGCCAACTTTCAACTTTGTAGCTGTCGTAGTTTTATGTGAAAAGTGACACATGAGTTTCCAAGTTGCCAGATATATAATAGATGAATAGATTGATTCTCTATTCCGCTTTCGTGGTGGTACACTCCTGAATTTCAAAGGTGTGGAATCCGCCCGCACGGCTAGTGAACGGAAACCTCGCTTATTTGCAATGGCATCTTAGAAGACGGACTTTCTCAAGATTAGATCTAAACGAATGAAAAACTGAAAATTAAAATAACAGTGACTTCACTCTCCTCTATAAAACTGTGCACCCTTTAGATGATTCTGAACAACTATTAATTTTGTCGAAATTGAAAGTTAAGTGGTTCGGCAGTCTTAGACAGCCAAAATGACACACTTCCATACATATAATATGTAGAGATTTTATTCTTTACTTTTTTATTCCAGACATCTCACTTTCTGTATTAAAATTAAGGCTGCCTTATTGTTTGAGATAATTATCGATTATTACAATGTCGAAGGCGACAGCGACGACGGCAACGATAACCATGATGATGATGTTTGATAATGATGATGTTGATGATGATTATGATGATGGTGATGACAATGATGATGATGATGATGATGATGATGATGATGATGATGATGATGATGATGAAAGTGTACTGTAGGTCATGTTAATTCCGAATAGAGGGCTGAGGCAGATCTTTACCCTATCAGCTGTTTCATCTCTGTCTCCAGCCTAGCGAAGAGGATTTCCAGGGTTCCATCGTATCGCGACCAGAGGCTTTCCTACGCTTAGCTAAGCTAAGCAGACCAGAGGCTCTCTACATCTTCTGTGGCTGCTTGGCCTCCTTCCTCATCGGCTCCATAGACCCAACTTTTGGTGTTCTTGTTGGCGGTGTCACTAAGGTCAGTTATCGTAGTTTTAGTCGAGGCTGATCTCGAGATAGAAAATCAACATCTCTAATCGTCACCATTCGATTTTTTTAGAGTCGACATCTACTATTTAGCCTTATTTAGAGACAAGGCGAAGCTGAAACTGATTTTTAAAAAAAACTTTTGAAATTATTGGGGGACTGAGCTCAGGCCTCTTGATCAAGAGGTGAGTATCTTTCCCTCAACCACACTCTGACCTCGAAGATAAAAATCTATGACATATTGAACGGTAACGAGTGAGACAAACCCTTTTAATAGTTTTAGACGTATTTTCAACCCTCTAAATTTTGCTTGAGTTTGTAATCCTTGGGACAAAGGGTCAGAAGAGCTGATCTGAAAATGAGGGCGTATTATCAAAATTATAGACAAAATCGTGATGCTTATAAGGTTGGGGAACGGGGTGGGTGGGTACATCTCTTGTTCTGGGAAAATACACGAATATATGTCAGGAAAAAAAAGGGGGAAACCATTCTCCAGTTATCATTTCAATACTCTTCATTACACTGTTACTATATTCTTACACCACTCCCTCATTCCTTTTATCTATCCCCCCCCCCTCTCCTCCATTTACCCCGCTTTCCTAGGCTCCCTCTCTGCGTGCTGTCTGTCAATCTGTCTGTCCGTTAATCACTCTGTCACTCTGTCTGTCCATCACCCCGTCTGTCTGTCTGTCTGTCTGTCTGTCTGTCTGTCTGTCTGTCTGTCTGTCCGTCTGTCTGTCTGTCTGTCTGTCTGTCTGTCTCTGTCTCTCTCTTTCTCTCTATCTCTTTATCTCTCTCTCTTTATCTCTCTCTCTCAAAAGAAAGGCTGTATGTATATATATAT